TAAAGGATTTGGACGCTTGCTTTCTAACCTATCATTCCCTTTCCACACCCATTGAAGGTAATCAAGAACATTTCATTAGCTTACCATTCCCTCTCCATGAGCTTAATTTCTAGTGCAGCCACATTCTTTCCCTGTACTGTTTGATTCTAATTCTCTTTATTCTTTTCTTTCATGGATATTGTTGCATTTCCATTTGAAGTTCTACTCGTATAATAGATCACACTACTTTAAGGCAAAAAATCAAAACCTTGATAAGGTGAATTGAAACTTGGTATATGCTTATGGCACTAGAGTTCTAGTATTTACTGGTTCCTTCAAATCCCATATCTAGTATTCACTTCTTTACAGCTTGATCTTCCAAGATTTGTTTGAAGTGTTTTGTATCTTCTGTGCTCTTATTCTCAGGCATATTTTGTCCCCTGTTTGCTACTCATTTTCTCCTCCATTGATCCTTCAAAATATATCCTAATTAGCTTGTTTTGTCATGTGTGTCACATGTATTTAATTTGTCATGGGTGTCACATGCATTTAATCATAAAAGCATATTATATAGAACAAAATTTATTAAATACAATTTTGAAAAGTTCACTCCTACCTTCGTGACTGCATCTTTGCCATTACAGTGAAGAATACTTTTAGTTGCAGTAATCTATTACTATGATTTGAGAATTGCATTTCAGAATGCATCCTTTTGAAATGCCGGCCGGTATTTTATTCCTCTTTTTCTTGTCTTTTTTCTTTAAAATTGATTCAATAGATTGACCTTTTATTTGACTTTTGCAGGTAATGGAAGTAATCATTCACTAATTTGAGTATATCATAATGAACAGGATGGTATCCCGAAGGTTTCCTTACCTGCTTTTGAAATGGCTTCTTATAAATTCAAAGGATCCATATGAACGCCAAATATCAACTCACAAATTCCCTCACTAAGGCTGCTGAAAACTGGCTAAGACTGCTCCAGGTCATTCACCCTGATTTTCAGTTTATTGCTTTGCATGGAATCTACCACAGGTGGAATTGGATATGCTCGTGTTTTAACTTCCTCTTCCATACTGTAAGAAGGTACTGCAGAAAACTTGGATGCTTTACGTGGTCAAACTGAGGTTAAATGCCTCAATAAGTTTTGGGAATTGTTGTTGTCAAATTGAGGTTAAATGCCTCATAAGTTTTGGGGTAAGATGCTATTTGAGGGAAATACGCCTGATGTGTATTTTCCTGTTACTTTGAAAAACAAAAAGATAGGTAAAAGGTGAAAAATTCAGATTAAATGTGATAAAACATGATAGCATAAGATTGGTAAATACATACTGAATAAGTCATGTCATTAGAGGAAACAAAATAGACTGAGAAGTCTCTGCAGCAGATGAACGAGCAAGATGATATATGGGAGTTAGCCACATTGTTAAAAAAATACTTGTACAAACCGCCAGGGAGAGTAAAATCACCTGCTTCTCAAACTCTATATTTATTTTATTACTGTGTTATACAAAAGATGAATAGGCATTGTTACGTGTTTGCCTAGAGATGATTATATGCATGGTTAATGTAAAAGAAAGCTAAACTTAGGCTGTCCTTTTGATATGGTAACTTATGTG